TTTATAGAAATACTTGGAAGAGTATTCACTTTAAGTTGAACTCCTTTGAGGATATTTGAGATGAGATCTTACAAATTGATATTGATGACATTATATTTAAAACTCGCTAGTTAAAAATAGTATTGTGATACACTTGTGGGATAAAGACTTCAATGGTTCTTTGATTACAAAGTAAATATTGCATAGTTGAGAGTTGACAATGCAAATGGGGATTGGTGATGGAGAATTTCCTAGAGCTTACCGCTAGTTGCAATATATCTTTTCTTTTGAAGGTGACAGGAACAAAATGGTGGGGTTTAGTTCAACTCATATTTTAAGAATACGGATATGAAGAAAAAGAAAATATATGGTGATGGCTCCCTATCGTTATTATGAATTTGATTTAAGGAATTAGTTAGTATTAAGTTTCGAAGAAGATATATTAATGGAAATTAAGGGTTGACAACTGATCATTCATGGTTTTTAGTACTACTCTTCAAGGTTTATAGTAGTAGTCCCTATGATTGGTATTAAAACTGGTTACTAAACTCATATGAATCTCTGTTTTCCGTTATATATTTGCTATTCCACAGTTAGAAATTGAGTTTGTTGTGGTTCACTTCTGGACTTAAGATTTTGGAAGAATACATTTAGGAGTGATGGTAGACGGTGTGCATGGCTGGATGCTTTACGCTTAAAAATGAAGAAATGAAGCCAATCGAGAATGGATTATGAATAAAATTGATGTTAATTAAGCTTTTGAATAATTCTTGCATTGGTGGAGATTGAGAAGATTCTTTGTGCATTCAAATCAGTTATAGAAGATAACTGATTTTTCATGGTTTGTAGTACTACTGAGTAAGATTGGTAGCTCTTAGATGAAGTGTTCGAGACATTGTTGTAAACGATAAGGATATTGTCAGGTGTTGTAGTTCTGCATATTAAGCAAGGGTCGAACTGCTAAACAAAAGTTTATTTTATCACGTCTGAACTTAGAAATATAGGATTTTCTAAATGTCGAGAACGAAATTTGTTTTAAGGTGCGTGGATTGTGAGACCCGAGAATTTCTTAGTAAAGAAGAGAAGTATTTGAAAACTTATTTATTGAAAAGATCTTTGTACGGGTCGAGGGACTACTCCAACAACACCGATACCGTCCCCACTTAACCACCTGCACAATCCTCAGGTGTGGGGTTTTATCACAAAAACCTTAATGTTAGTTAGAGTAAGGTAATTCTATTTAAAGTACTTTCTCTCTTCCCTCTTGGCCGATGTGGGACAATGGGTGTTCCAACAAATACATTTCATAAGTTCATATGAAATTAGAATTTACAGTTGGACTAATGAATTGATGACCCATGGCAGCCATTGAGTGGCTAAGTTTGCCACATGGGATTAACCAACATGCCAGCACAGACATTTGTCATGTTAGTAGAGCATGCTAGGTGGAAAGTGATTAGATGAGGTAGTCAAATTGCTACACAAATATAAGCAGGAGGTGGCCTTTCTTTACATGTGGAAGTCTAAAAGTTAATCAACCTTTCTACAAACTAGAGGTGGCAGTAAGTTTACATGCATGCAAAGGAGATGTAAGTGACTCATGGTTTTATTAGTAGGACGTGTTTGTATCAGAGAAACTATTATCCAAAGTGGAGATAAAAATATCCAGCAGGTGACTTGCTTAGTGCCCAAGCCTTTATCTGATTGGCCATGTTTAGGTCAGAACCAATATGATGTCAATCTACACTAGTTGGCATGTAGTTTGTAGCCGCCTCCTATTGCTATAAATAGGAGATCATCTCCATTTGTTTTCCAAGAAGAGCTAGCATGCAATGCATGCTCTGCAGCTCACGTGTGTGTGTGTATGTAAGTGTCTATATATTTATAACGATATGTTTGTACGCATACTATATGATATATATATATATATATATATGTATGTGTATACTTGTATGCATACCTACACATATATATAGAGAGAGATTAGAAAATAAAGGAGAGTAGAGGAAATATATGGTGTTAGAAGCGATTGAGGAGCTTCCTCAAGTACGTGGAATTTAGCTATTTCAGTAGTGATGTGGATAAGTACGTAAAGCTTAGCTATTCCAGTAGTGGCGTGGATCTTCATTTTAGCTTTGGAATTCAGGTAGGGGAAATACGGCAAACCTTTACGGAAATTGATTTTATTAAATTTCGTGAAGTGTGATCATATTCTTGATCTTTTTGGTTGATTAATGTGTTGGATATTAATTGGCTAATTGTTTCGGTTAAATGTTTACTTGTTATTAGTTATGGAATTATTGTTAGAATACTATTTGTTGGGAATATGTTGTGATGCATATAAAAGATGTAATGATATTATTTGTGCATCATTCATGTTGATGTGGTTGGAACTTAAGTGTTGAGACTGGTCTGGAAATTAGGGTAATTGGAGAGGATTTTTTGTGTAGTTGAATCTATTCATTGTGAACCAGGTCCCAGGCGAGCCCGGTGTGCACATTAGAATAGGATATTGGAGGGATAAATTGTCGATGTGGGTAATTTGGGCTGAATATCAATGAATTAGATAAGATCACTAACAAAAAGGGTTTATGAACTTGGGATATCTTATGAGAGTTAGTTTGTATAATAGAATATTCAAACCACCACTGTAGTGGTAAAATGCATGGTATGGGACGTGCTGGTCCACATGCTTTATTATATAAGTTAACGGGAATAGTTGAAGAAGTTGCATTGCATTCATGCATTTTTATCAATAATGTTTTGATATTTGGTTATATGATTCCATGACATTTAATTTAATATTGTCATTTTACTGTGGTAAGGTTGTATCCCCACTGAGCTGTTGACGCTCACCCCTCTATTGTTATGCAGGTTTACGAACAAGACATTCAAGAGGGTAGGCAGGATGAGATCAATTAGCTGTGAGAATAGAATGTTTATTTATCTATTTACTGTAGAATTGTAAAGAGTTCTTGATTTGTTTAAGAATCATGAGTTATTTTATAAGAGGAAATTTTTTTTGCAACCCGTTTCAATTTCCTTTTAATTATTTAGTTTTTAACTTGTGTTTCGGATTCGGGTTCGAGTTTTTATAACCGACTTCGGATTTAGGGCATGACAGATGATCTAGGAGAATTGAATGTTAGTGCAATTCGTCCTAGATGGCCAACCTCCTTAGAAGAAAAGAGAGAAAGTGTATCACTCTTTGCCTCAAAGAAACCCCTAATGAGGTTAAAGCTATAACCGCACTTTCATATTCACTCACAAGTGAGCAAATTAACTTATGGGTATTGAACAAATCCAATCTCAATCTATCCCGAAATACAGAAAATATTTTGGGAATACCGAAATTTCAGTCCTGGATCAGTCTTCGAAATCCCATCCCAAAAGGGAGCGGTTCAGAATCCTGATCCAAACCAACCATACTTAAAACCGGTATTGATAACTGCATATCCTCTTTTCTTCTTCTTTTTTTGTCAAAGCATATCCTCTCTCGATAATACCTATATTTGGAGTCCATACTATTTTCAATAGGAGTGGAAAAAAGCCCAAAAATCCTGAACAGTCCCGATCCCGTCCCTAAACCAAACCCAAAAAATGCCCGAACTAAACATCCCTAAACGTTCGGTCCCGAAATCGAATCGGTCTTGAAATTTTTGGTATGCGATTTGGTCTTCTCTTTGTAATGATTCGGGAATCCGAACTAAACTGATATATTACATTTATTTATTTTTAATTTATAATTTACTAATTACTTGGACCATTAGATGCTTGGATCTTCATCTCACATTCATTCTCGATCCCTCCAGACTTCAACACTCCGTAGCACTCTGTTCGAATCCACTCATCTCTCTCAATTCCTCCTCCATCCGCTTGACTCCAGCTGGCCACTAAGTCACAAGAAAACCACACACAATCAAACACACCCTAAAGGTATGGATTTTGTATTTTTGGGTATTATGTGTTTTTTTTTCAAAAACTAATGATTTGGGGTTTTTGTAAAACTAATGGCTGGATAATTTTTGAGTTTGGGGTTTCTAGGGTTTTCTGGGTTTAGGGTTTATGGGGGTTTCTAGGTTTTTGGGTTTGGGCATGTTTGCAAACATTCAAAAAACCCAGTAAGGGTTTGAAGAGTGGAGGGAGAGGACTCTATTTTTCTTGCAGGTTAGGGATTCAAGATGCAAAAGAATTATAGTTGTAGGAAGGATGCTTTTGGTGGGGCCACCAGTGGCACCGTCAAAATTGGTTATTATTCTAGGGGCTAAAAAAAGGGGTCTTGGATTACAGAAGCTTGGAGATGGAATGACTAATTAGGTTAATTAATTTGGGCTCCATGAAACTTAAAAATTGTAGTATGTAGTCGTAATCCGAACTATCACAAACAGGTGGACATCTTTTATTCTTTCCAAAATCCAAAAAATTTAAAAAGCCCAACAATTTGGGCTTGAACTACCAAAAATAAATAAATAAATAAATAAAAAAGGGCTTGAAGGCACAATCCTGAACCAATCCGAATGTCAAAAAACTTTTGGGCACCCTGAAATTCGGGAATCCCAAAAATTCAGTTGGGTTTCGGGTTGTAAAATTCCATCCTAAAAATTATTGGTTTGCGATTTGAGCTTTAGGTTTTGGTTCGAGATCCGACCGGAACCAACCCTAATTTTCAAGGGAACTTTAACGAAAAGTTCCTAGTACTGTTTACTTTAATAAAAAATCACATTTTTACACTAAAAAATCAATCCTGGTACTATTTATATTATCCTTTATTTTGTTCGTATCGTTAAAATGCAAAGTTTTCAAATATTTTTCATTAGTTTCCTAATTTTCAACGAGGAGAATGAAGGCAATGATGTTAAACTTGACTAGACCCGAACACCCGTTCTCGCTTCCGTATCCGTGCCTGGTAGCGGTCAAGCGTGAAAAAGACACTAGGGGTATGGGCTTCACAGTGGGCCTTAAATTCATTCCGTCCAAGCAGAATCTCCGATTTAAGCCGCTTCAGTCGGAGAGTTGTGAACGAAACAAAACTTAGGAGGGAGGGAGAGGGAGGGAGGGAGAGAGAGAAAGAAAGAGCAAGAGAAAGAGATGGGAGTGACCAAGGAGCAAGTGAAGTCTTCACTGACGTCAAAACTGAACCCTGCACATCTCGTAAGCTTCTCTCTGTTCTCTTTAGATTAGTTTTTAATTAGGCGAACTTCGATTAGCACTTCACTTTAGATTCTTTAGTATTCTTTAGCGAGGGATTGGACTTGTGTTGTGGTAATCTAGGGTTTTATGTAGGTCCATTATCTTATAGTAATTGAATTTTAAGCATGTTAAACAGTATTACATTGGTTCGAATTGTTTTCGACATGTACTTGATTGGTTCGAATTGTGTTCCAATGGTTGAAGCTGCACGACATTGATTTACGGTTAAGATCGTTTAAGAGGTCAATCTGATCAAGGGTAGTGCTAGGCATCTAAATGTATGCACAAACTTGATCCACGGTTGATACCCAACAAGTCCTGTAATTGTGGTGCTAAACTACGTAGGCTTTGATAAAATGAATCTAGATTTGGTCAAGTAAGATGCAGTGTGGAAGTGGCTTATATTGGCTAACATATTTTACCTGTAATAGTTGCTTGTCTGATTTGCTCTTCCGTTTATTAATTTATAAACATAAGAGACCCTACAAGGTTACAAGTTTGGTGCATCAGCAATCCTACTTAAATTTTAAAGACATTTCAAGCTTTTGATTGTATTTGCTTTATTTTAATTGCTGCTAAGTAAGAAAACATGGAATTTTTTATAAAGTCGATTGATTAACTTAGGTCAACAGCCACTCTTTGGCCTCGTAGTATAGTTTCAATTTTCTTTGCTGCAGCATAAACTCAGCAAAACTACTCTTATAGTTTTATATCTTCCTTGCCATGTCAAATTTCTGCAATTCAGACATTCCATTTAGATAATGATGCTACACAGACGAGCCACTGAACAAAGCAGAATCGAATTAGTGAATGCTACTGCCAGTGTGTTGCTTTTAAGTTCCTCCCAAGGATGCTTTGCCCCTATTAATTTGCAACCCTTAGATTTTTCAGTTCTTAACATCATTGTTTGACCAGACCATTATTTCTCTTTCCAACATTTTGGTGGTGACAATCAAATTGGTGAATGCTAGTGCCAGTGTGGTGCTTTTGGAAACATATGATCCAAGGCTTTATTTACTGAAAGGGATTACTGCGAGCGGTTAAGCTACTTTGGCATGCTCACTGGAATCGGGTCTGCAGAACAACCACTTGAATTAAGATTTTCAGTTTGCTAGTTGTAAAAGTTAAAAAGTGGAGTAAAAATAGAGAAATATGTGCTTCATCCAGTCCTTCAGAACTGAGTGCTGTTATTATTTTTTCATCTTTCATGGCTCATGCATTTTATTGTAAAAGATTTTGTGGAAAAACTTGCATTGCAATCATTTGTTTTTTTTATTCTGTCCAAATGCTTTGTGACTCTGTCATTTCTTGTTTCTAATTTATTTTTGAACTTTTGTGTTTCAGGAAGTAATTGATACATCTGGAGGGCAAGTTACTTCGTGCAATTCCCATTTAATTTATGAAATTTCTGAGTGCTTATTTTCTCCCTCATCTTTTTATTTAATTTAATGTCCGTGGTTGTCAGATGTGGTGCTAGCTTTGCTATTGAGATAGTATCAGAGCAGTTTGAAGGAAAGAGGTTGCTGGAGAGGCATCGGCTGGTAAATTCATCGTTAGAAGAGGAGATGAAGGAGATTCATGCGCTCTCGATAAAGAAAGCTCTGACACCAGAGCAGTGGAAACAACAGCAGGAGTCTCAAGTATCTAAACCCGCCCCGTGAACAATATTTCCAAAGGTTTCAAGTTTATATTGTAGCTGGTAAGAATATATTTCGAGAGTGCTGGAAAATTAGATGAAATTTTCTATTTTACCGTCCCAAATTCTATGCAGTGTGAGAATAAGTTGGTAATTATTCTACCAGTTTGTATACTATTGTGGATGCTTTGTCATGTACTTTATCTTTTTTTGGTTTGCTTTTTTTTTTCTTGTTAGTGTTGGACAAACTTGGACTGGACATGGTCAGGCCCAGCTATATTAGGCCGGAACCGATTACTTGACCATGTCAGTAACCGATTCCGATGAATTGACACACAGATATGGTTCATGTTTGATGCAAGGTTATGATGCAACGAAGGCATAAGATTTGCTGTTAATTCTATATGAAATGCTTGTTATTAGAGAACTTCAAGGCCCCTTGATAATTATTATATTTTGGGTGAACTGTTGATTCAGTCCATAAATTATCACAAGAGGATTTGCAACGTAAAGAGGACCTTCAACTCAACACGCAAATCAATGCTCTATGAGAACCCTTCACCTTTTGAGAAAAATACTAATTGCTTTACTAATTGTTAGCACGAATACAGTCTAGTTAGACAAATTTGGGTTGACATTAGACAAACGACTATTGCCTGGTTAGATGAGGTTTCCGGAGGCAACCAGCCAAAGCAATAGTTTGGTTAGACATCGTTGGAGTTGTAGAATCAGTCTGCTTAGGAGCCTCGACTACTCGGTTAAATAGCGAGTTTCTTAAGTCTAGCTCGTTAACTACCTCAAGTCTCACTGGCAAATAGTCTTTGATTTTCTCACAAAATGATGCAAAATAAGGCCACTTTATTAGCCTTCTCGTGAAAGTGGGGTGTTTTTATTAGATACTCCTAAGCCACATTTAGATTTCGATATATCAACAGTCGAACCACTTTTACAATAAAGACACTCATTTCTTTTAAATATCTGTGTCCCTATAGTTTGATACTAGTTGGGCGGATCTATGTAGTTACCAACATAGTCGTGGTTGCAAAACTTGGTGCACAAGATCCAGAGGTTTGCGATGAGTTACATAACCTAGCTTGTCTTTAGGTTATAGAACCCAAAGTCGAGAATGTTTATTCCTCAATAAAAAAACACTCAATTCAAGGGTCAGAATCGCATTTTACCACATCCATTACATTCAAGACATTCATCCAATCAAGCTCGGTAGCGAATTGGCACACTTGATCAGCAATCAACCACCGAAGGATGTAGTTAGCTCCTTATTTACTTCGGACTGCACACCATGTAGGTTGTGTAGTTTTTAGGGTCAACAGGCACACATGGCAAACATGTCTACTACTGTTAAACACTGAAGAAACTTGATGTTGGAACCAAATTTGTGCATATCCATGGACGAAGGTGAAATCCAGTTAGAGTTACCTATGATCTTCGGCAATGGGAGAACAAGGTTGATTGGGGTAAAGGTGTGGGTGAATCCGAATAAGACTACCTACATATCTCCAGGAAGGAGAATTTAACCACAAATGTAGTTCTAAGAAAGAATGGTGTGATTTGCAATACATCGTGATCCATCCTTGACAAATAGCTTAAGGTGGGACGTTAAGAGATGAGTTCACCATGGATGTGTCTATGCATAGACAGCGATGTATGAGAGATGAGTCTCTATTAGGCATGAGAGAATATGTGTATAGTAGTCATATGGAGAAGATGAAGAGAATCAGAGTCTTGGATCATCAAAGACTTAGCGAGATAAATTCCTAGGTTAAGGTATTTATAAAGATCTTGAGAGTCCTTGTAGGGAAAATGATTCCAATTAAATCAGGAGAATATTTGGGAGAAAACCTAGGATAAGATACCCAATCATCCTAGAATCATGTACATTGCCTAATCTCCAAGATATCTTGATTTGACTTGAACTAGGATTTCCTTGGGAGACAAGTAATATCTTTAACAGGTTTTTGCCTAACCATGGTTGTCTAAATTTGCTTGGTATTCTAACTCCGTTTGATTTTCCTGAACATTAAGGCTAGTTCGACCTAACTAAGGTAGTCCGGAAATCCAGTAGACCAATCTGACTAAGATGCCTATAAGAGTAACCTGTTTCAATCCACGTCAAGTCTCTTAGCTTATCACCTGATCGCCGAGTCCTATGGGCATTTCAGTCCTTCTTGGCACCCGAGGTGCCACGTGTCATGGTCCCACACTTGAGGTTTCACCATAAAACCAATTAACAATATGGAGAGTAGTCCAATTACTTATAAGCACATGCAAAGTCCATTTTTTCCCCGATGTGGGATTCATAATCTCAACATGTCCCCTTACGTTGGGCTTCACCCGAGAGATAACCTAGTATGATACCATCAACCAAGTTGAGCTTCCATCATAAAACTAATTAGAAGTATGAGGAATAACCCAATTACTCATAAGTACATGCAAGGTCCATTCATTCTCCAATGTGGAATTTAGCTCTCAACAAACACACCATATATGTCAGTACAGATTCATGCAGAGCCAACCAATACAATACATATCACATGCATGTATGCTGCTAAGCTCAATCAATGCGACACACATGCTAGGCGCATTTACTTATTTACAAGGCATGTATAGGGGTGGGTTCGGTACGGTTACCGTACTAAAACCCTCGTACCAATTATCATACCAAACTTTCGGTTTGGTAAAATCTATTACCATTACGGTACCAAACTTTCAGTATACCAAAGTTCGGTATTGCCAAATGGTTCGGTTGGTATGGTATGGCAATGGTAATTGCCACTTTGTTTTGGGACAAAATCTTTTTTTTTTTTTTTTTTTTTTAACCTATTCAAGGGCCAAACTTTTTTTATGTATCTTTATCTCATACATAGTAATCTAAATTCATCTATTATTCATCATTCACAATTCGCACACACAATAATTCAAATGATGCATCAAGATTCATGATGAAAATTAAGCTTAGAATCCAAATAAAAGTTACGAACCAAAACAAATAGAAGTTAAAGTTTCCAACCAAATGAAAATTGGAACTAAACTTCAAAAAGTAAAATTCATTGATCAATTCTTCAAGCTTGAGATGTCAAGGCTTTTGGAGGAGGCATTGAACATGTAGAAGATTGAGCTTGTGTCAAGCCTACATTACAAACAAAGAAAACATATTTATAGCAAGAAGAATTAAAGTTGAAAACTATTTAATAACAAATTTACTAAAAAAATTAAAGCATATCTTACTTGTTTCCACTTATTCCATTTCCTTGCAAAATTGAAGCATATCTTTTGTTGGTTTCTTGTAGAAGTTTACTTCATCTGCCCTAAGTCAATCACTAGTACACACTAGTGTCTCTATCATTTTAGGAGGCAAGGATGCCCTAAAAGGGTCCACAACCCTCCTCCCTAAGCTAAATGCATTTTCACTAGCAATGGTAGAACTGGGGATTGTAAAGATATCCTTGGCTATTTGTGAAAGAATTGAGAACTCTTTTGTGTTTGATTTCCCCTAACTCAAGAGATTAAAGTCACCAACAACAATGCTAATATAAGTAGGGGTTTATTTTCAAATTATTGAAATATTATAAATATGTGTTATATAATTTATAAATTATATATTGTATTATATTTTCGATATGGTACGGTGATACAGTGGTGATAGTAGCCATTATCAATACCATACCTTGAAATTTCGGTACGGTACAATACCGTACCATTACAGATTGATAAAAAAATTTGGCACAAAATCGGTATGGCATAGTTGGCAATTCAGTTGACACGACAATCTAGCAAAAATTTCCACTCTAGGCATTTGATGAAATCCACCTCCTTCAATTCACCAAATCCACCATCATTCCCAACCTGTCTCTGACCTCCCCATGCTTTCCTGCCACTACATTCAAAAAGGCCTTCTCTTCCCTACCATCCTCTTCACCCTCATCCCCTCCTCAAATCCTCCTTTTGC